TGCGATATGGAATTTTTGTGTTGTATATTTTCTCATAAACATAAAAATCCCATAAGTTGTAAAACTATTAAAATAACCCCAATTGTTTATTCAATCTTATCAAATAAACAAAAATTATAAAATCGCATAATAAATGATTACAAAGTTATTTGTTCTTCAGTTAAATAATTGTTTCATCTAACTTTAATTTAATTAAAAAAAATTGAACATAAATTGTACTTGATATGATCATATCTCTCAACTACTCTTACAAATAACCTATAAAGTAGAAAAAAAAACATACATTAGTGAGTAAATATTAACTTAGAAGTTAAATGCACTAAGATAAAAATTAACAAACATCACTAACTTCTAACTATTTACAAGAAAAATCAATAGTTAAATATTATTAAATAACGAAATTTTAAAAAGTTACCACAAGTTTGAGTCAAAAAAAAATTCTAATAAAATTTAATCAAAAAAATTATAACTAGTCCACTTGACTAAATATTAATAACTAATTGATCAAATTTTCCTAAGTCCTCAATCAATTGGACTTGATATCCTTCAGTCATGTGAACGAACATTTTGCAAATACTAAGATTAAGAAAGTGTGGCGCCGCCAATGAAAATTGTCTTTTATCAATATTATGCTTAGTCATAAGATTAAGACGTTTTTTTTTTATTATGAAAAATAAAAAAAGTATTACTCCCTTTGTTCTCATTTATATTCACCAAATAAATTTCTACTTTATCATTTATATTCACCAAATTTAAAGTGATAATAAATTTTATATTGGTGAGAATAATAAATTTTAAAAAGTAATGATGTGATTATAAATTTTATTTACATATGAAACAAATGGTTAGTAGATATAAATGTGGGGTTGTTTTAACAAAATATAAACTCATGGATCAATTATTGTATTAAAATATCTCAAATCATGATATGAAATCACACATATCATGATTTTTGGAGAATATGATATCACCTCTCATGATATGAAATCAGTGTAAAATTGCATGTCCAAACGCTGATTTCATCTCACGACATCATATCATGATATGATATCGCATGGCCAAACGCCTACTAATAATTCATACCCGATATTTATATCAAATCATACGATTTCCATTTAAGGTTAGTTATCCATATTTCTAAAATTAATTGTGCTTTTTTAATAAAATTGAAAATTGAGATAGAATTAATTACTTCCTCTATCACACAACATTATCCACTACATTAATAAATAATAGAACCCTTCGAATAGATTAAATTTAATGCTTTGAGAAAGGTATTAAACATTGAATAATATTTAATATCAAGGTAAAATTAGGTTGCGTTACTATTAATAGCACAAAAAAAAATTAAATGTGTATACCTTAACTTAAGTTAGATTAAATTATTTCTCAGAACACTAAATATTAACCTAAAATTCTCTAACCATACATTAGACAATTGTGTTTATGTTTCTTCCCTTAATCCTTTTAGAAATTGCATATCAAATTAATAAGAGATCTTCTTCTATAATTTGTATTAAGTAATCGTAGTTAAATAATCAACTAAAATCCAAATATACAGTAATTAATTATAATTAAGCTAGCTATATACAAATGACACATGTTATACATTTATTAATTAATTTAATATAAATAGCAGCCAGCAGGTTTATATTAAATTAATACCGAATGAGGTAAAGATTGGTTAACGAAATGCAAGTGGAAAATATTAAAACCTCATATTATGCAGAACATTTGTGGCCGATTATCTCAATGATTACCAAGGATGTGGTTTCAAGGCTTCTTCTTCAAGTAAGAGGTTTTGAATTCAAATTCTACGTATGAAAAAATATTTAACAGAAAACGTTATTTTAAAAATGGGCCTCTATTCAATACAAATTCAAATCAATCAGACTATTCAATACGATTTGAATTGGTGGAACAATAAAAAAAAAAAAAAAAAAAAACTATCTGAATGGAGTAGGTAGTAGTACACTTTTGACCTTTTCCCAAAAAGAATGATACTTGATGTAGATATGACAATTGTTTGTTTATTTTTACTCCCAATCAAAAATTTCAATGCAGGTGAAAAGAAATTGATTTATAATATCATCACTCAATTAATGTTTATCATTTAAAAGTTATATTTTTTTTATTGATAAAAAAAATTAAAATAATTATTATTAATTAAATAATCAGTTAAAAAATTAAAATCAACATGACATCAAATACCGAAATACGTACCGACAAAAATAAGAATAATTGAGTTATTTAATGTTAAACCCCCATCTGAACAAAAAGAAATGTCCATAGTGGGCACGATGATCACTTTGGTGCAGGACCACTTATAGAAAATTTAATGAAAAATTGTGTTGAAGGTGTGGCTCATTTTGATGAAAATTTATCAACACCAACATTTATATCGAATCAATAGATATGTGATACATATTTATAAATAATTATTTGACAATGATTAATTATTACATATATTTATTTTATAAAATTACTTATAAAAATTAACAAATTTATATGATTTGATGCATACATACGTACCCGACAACATATTCCAAATCGGGCCATTAGCCAATGCATGGGGACCTCAGGTGTTGACCTAAGCCACATAAGTCTAAGATAAGTTCCTTTTTCTTTACTAACTTTTTTGTTTATAAATATTCTATTTATTGTTTGCCATTGATTTGTTGAAAATAACAAGTTAGAAGATAGATTGTGATATTCGTGACAAAAGACAAGTTAATGAACACGGGTTGATGAACAAATGAAGGCCGGTCAAAAAGAAAGAATAATTGATTTTAAAATTGGTAAACTTTGAATAAAATTGCATAATGATATTTTAAGCAAATAACACTACATAAAAATATCAGTCATATTATCTCAACAGGGTGGTAGAGAAATTTGTTAGGACATTCAATCTCATTTCATTAAACTCGATCAAAAGTGTGGAGGTTATGCCCCACGACACGAGGATCCACATTACTAAGTTGCCAACTATAGTATAGTAAGTAGTTTGGGAACAATTATACAACCGCGATATTACTTATTGTTGGGTTATGAAAGGTGAATAGGGCGTCATGCGAAAACTTACAATTGTAAATAATATAGTTGACAAATCAGACGACAAATAAAAATATACTAAAGATATATTATTAATATGGTTTGGTCAATCAACCTACATATTGAAAACTAATACTAAAAAAGCATAAATATGTTTAGGAGAAAATCTCTCTATAAACAAGACTCTTAAACGGCTACATTGTGGATGTTATTGTTTTATGCTATGAGAATAGTGATCTTCAATTTATAGATCTCCAAACTATTTTCTAAGGAAAGAATAAACCAAATATAGAAGAAAATTATATTCTTCCTTCAGAAAAAGTTCAAGTATTTATGGTAATACTTGACTTTTCTTTAAGGAAATAAATAAACTTCAAATAAGAAAAGAAAATTAAGGCAAAACCCTAACACTTATGTCTTACAATTGTAAGAAAAATCATTTAAAACTGATTAACAAGCTTATAACAAACACGTTTTTTTTTTAGAATCCCAAAATAATCCAATAATTTTTTGATAAATAGTTAAACTTTAATAAGAATGCTGATTCATTAAGGATGTTTCTAACTTCCTTTTGGGCACATAGCTTAGTGGGCAAGTCCAAATTATATATAATAAATAAGGGATAAGAGTCTGAAAAATATCCTAACTATCGTCGAATTTGCTGTTGCGATACTAAACTTTCATGAGGACCTATTACCTCCTTAGACTATTTAATACCTTATTTTAAACATATATATTTGTCCATGTAGACATAAAAAATAATGCAAAATTATAAATAGTAATGTGTCCACGTGGGCATGTATATACCTTTAAAATACAATATTAAATAGTTCAGGGGTAAAAAATACGGTATTAAATAGTCTAGGGAGGTAATAGGTCTTTATGAAAGTTTAGTATCGCAACAACAAATTCGATCAAAATTGGGATATTTTTCAGACCTTTATCCCTAATAATAATGGAAGTTGGAAGAAAGTGCAACATTTTATACCTTTATCTACTGTCACACGTATTCTTTAGTATACTCAAGACGCACATTTTTCATGTGTTTTTGCTACAATTTTTTTTATTCAGTTTTTGGTGTTCATATTTAGCTCAACTAAATTCGAATTCATGTTAAAAAGTCTCATATTATGAAGTAAAATGCTTCTTAATAAAAACAGTTTTATAATCAAGGATTCTCAATCTAAAAATTCTGAAGGAAAAAGTACTTATCATTGTACTACAACTCTGATGGGTATTTGTGCTACTGAAATAACACTTTTTCTGTCCTATTTTCTTGGCAATGATACCTGAGTGGGTTCACTATTCAATCATCTTTTAGTTCCAACCAAAAATAGCAAATTCAGATTTTGTAAGTCATACATGAACTAGGTGAAAAAAATCCAGTAGCTCGGTTGATTGATTATTTGAATTTTGAATTCATAAAAGTAGAAAAGTTCATATTTTTTTCTTGCTGAAACTCAAGATTTCAATATTTGCACTTATATGCTTTGCCCTTTATGCTTTATTAGTGGGGAAGAGCAGAAGCAGATACCCCACTAAAGAAAACTACAGCTTTTTTTCCTTTTCCTTCTGCTTCTTGTTCTTTATTTTCCCCCTTTGTCATGGCGGTTTGATGTTCTGTAAGTAAATTTCTTGTCCCTATCCAATTCTCAATCCATATTTTCTCAAGATTCTGTTCTGCTCTTTTCAGAGTTTTAATATTCTTTTTGTCTGCTCCATTATCTTCTAATGAAATATGACTCATTTCACACTCTGGGTGGGAAAATGACTGTTCATGTCCTTCTAGTGTGAAATTGAGGCTACCCCTTTCTTTCTTAATCCCCCTTTTTTGTAATATGCCTTGACTGAACTATTATGTGTTTTGAATTCTTGATGTTACTGCTTACTATGTATACTTTCTGTTGATGTAAATTTACTAAAATTTTCCTATCTGTGCCCAGCAGTGTCAAGATTGCACATTTTTGTCCCCAAGTTCACTATGAGACTATTTTGGACATTGATTTTGATAGTTATCTACAATGGGTATTCTTCAGAGGGGGTTAATTCAACTCTTTCTGCAAGGCCTAAAGTTGTGAACATTGGGTGTATGCTGTCTTTCAATACACTCGTTGGGAAAATTACTAAAATCGCTGCGGAAGCTGCCGTTGAAGATATAAATTCCAATCCAGATGTTATTGGAGGAACTAAGCTGAATATGATAACATTGGATAGTAATGCCAGTGGATTTCTTGGAATAGTTGAGGGTAAGCTATCCCTTTGCAAATATCTGTAATTTTGTTACTTTTGTGGATAGCATTTTCATTGTTTCTATAATTCTGTTCTTGCTCTTTGAGTTTTATGTAAATTGTTTGGTTTTTATTACAGCTATCCGTTTCATGGAGACGGATACTGTGGCCATTGTTGGCCCCCAATCTTCTGTTATAGCTCATGTGGTATCAAACATTGCGAATGAGCTGCAGGTCCCTCTATTATCATTTGCAGCCACAGACCCCTCTCTTTCTTCGCTTCAGTACCCGTTTTTTGTTAGAACTTCCCCAAGTGATAAGTTTCAGATGGAAGCTATAGCTGAAATGGTTGAGTACTATGAATGGAGGGAAGTAATTGTTATATATATTGATGATGATTTCGGAAGAAATGGTATAGCTGCATTAGCAGATCAGCTGGCCAAGAGACGATGTTCGATCTCTTACAAAGCAGCTATGAAACCTGGAGCAACATTGGATGATGCCCGGGATGTTTTGGTTCAGGTTGCTTTGAGAGAGTCACGAATAATGGTTGTTCACACTTATCCTACAAAGGGTCTGGAGATATTCTCTATGGCACGGTATTTGGGGATGATAGATAAAGGATATGTGTGGATTGCTACAAATTGGCTCTCAACTATCCTTGATGCTGGTAGTCCCCTTTCTTCAGATGAAAAAGAGAACCTTGAAGGGGCTATCACCTTGCGTATACACACTCCAGGTTCAGAATTGAAACAGAAGTTTGTCTCACAGTGGAGCAATTTGACAAGGAAGGCAGGACTTACTGGATCTTCAGGAATGTCCACTTATGCGCTCTATGCTTATGATACTGTGTGGCTACTTGCTCGTGCCATCAATGAATTCTTTAACCAGGGTGGAAATGTTTCATTTTCTAAGGATCCAAGGCTAACTGAACTGAATAGTGGAAGTATGAATCTTGATTCTATGAACATCTTTAATGGAGGGAAGTTATTGCGAGACAACATTTTTAAGGTTAATATGACAGGTGTAACAGGACCGTTTAGTTTCACTTCTAATAAGGAACTCTTCCGCCCTACTTTTGAAGTCATTAATGTGGTTGGTACAGGTTTTAGGAAAGTTGGTTATTGGTCTGAATACTCTGGTTTATCAATTGTGCCTCCTGAAACACTGTACTCTAAGCCGGCAAATCGTTCCTCTTCAAATCAACAGCTACATAGTATAATCTGGCCTGGACAAATAACGGAAAAACCTCGTGGATGGGTTTTTCCTAACAATGGGAGACAACTGAAAATTGGAGTTCCTAACCGAGCTAGCTTTCGTGAATTTGTTGGAAAGGTACCAGGCGCTGACTCGTTCAGAGGATACTGTATTGAAGTCTTCACTACTGCCATAGACTTATTGCCTTATGCTGTCCCTTACAAACTAGTTGCTTTTGGCGATGGTCATAACAATCCAGATGATACAGAGCTAGTACGCCTAATCACAGCAGGAGTGAGTACAAGACTACCAAGGTTCTATTGTACTGTCATTTGAACAATGTGCTTTCTAACTGTATCTACTTGATCTCTTATTTCAGGTTTATGATGCAGCCATAGGTGACATAGCAATTACAACTAATCGAACAAAAATGGTTGATTTCACTCAACCGTACATTGAATCTGGGTTAGTTGTAGTGGCACCAGTTAAGGAGCAGAATTCTAATGCTTGGGCTTTTCTCAGTCCATTTACTCCTAGGATGTGGTGTGTCACTGGTGTTTTTTTCTTAATTGTGGGCACTGTAATTTGGATTTTGGAACACAGATTGAATGATGATTTTCGTGGACCTCCGAGTAAACAGATTGTCACTGTTTTATGGTGAGTTGGCAAAACATTACTAAATTAGCATATATTTACCTGATGAAAGAGTATGTCATATATTGTTCGCTCTTCCTTGACCTTCTCCCACACCTTCTAGTTTCCACTTGCGAAATTTCACTTTGCAGAAAATCAAACTCTTAACCCTTTCCTATGTAAAACTCTTTTGCAGGTTCAGCTTTTCAACTCTCTTTACTGCCCAGAGTAAGTAACCTATGCTGGTTGAGTTACTTGTGTACTACCCTTTGAATGAACTTGTATAACCAAAAAAAACACTTTTGTATGCAGGAGAAAACACTGTCAGCACCTTTGGCCGTATTGTCCTTCTTATATGGCTATTTGTGGTTTTGATAATAAACTCAAGCTATACGGCCAGTCTCACCTCAATTCTTACAGTGCAGAAACTTTCTTCCCCAATTACCGGAATTGAAAGTTTAGTAAATACAAAGGAACCCATTGGTTATCAGTTGGGTTCATTTGCCCGTAACTATCTGATTCAAGAACTTCGCATTGATGAATCTAGACTTGTTCCTCTTAACCTCCCTGAAGATTATGCTAAAGCTTTAAAAGATGGTCCTAGCCGTGGTGGTGTTGCAGCAGTGGTAGATGAGCGTGCATATATGGAGCTTTTCCTCTCATCGCGTTGCCAATTCAGTATTCTGGGTCAAGAATTCACAAAAAATGGATGGGGGTTTGTAAGTAGCTCTCTGTCAACTTCACCTTTTTGCTTTTACATGTTTTTGTCAACTTCACCCTTACTTATACATGTGAACCTGCCTTTTATGAATTTGTCTCCCACCGTGATGAATTGACCATACATGCAAATATGCCAGGAAATTGTTAAATGCATGAGAAGTATCTACATCAATCAAATACATGGAAATATGCCAAGAAAGTTTATTTTTTACTGATGCATGGTTTTCTCCATTGTTCCTTAGTTATAATCCTGCTTGAAACATGTCTTCTGAAGATGAATTATACTACTGTTAGTTCGATATATGGAAGGAGACCTGAGATTTGGGAGATCATTATCATTCTTGACATAACATGGTGCTTGTTTCACACAAAATTTGTCCCTTCAAAACATAGGGGGTCGATTGGTCAGAACATTAAAGGAATGAATACAAGTACAAATATTGGCTGTGTTTGGTATGAAGGAAAACAATTTCCGGAAAATGTTTTCCAAATCAACTCATTTTCTTGAAAATGACTTTCCTTCAAAACTTAAGGAAAACATTTTCCAAAACTTTCCTCCAACTTCAAATTACAATTCTTTTGTTGAAAAAATAAATTTCAAGTTTATTTTTAAAAAACATTTTTCAACTTCAATTTTTTTTATTTTTTTACCCACCCTAACCCCTCCCCCCCTCCCCCCCCAAAAAAAAGAAATTTAAAATTTAATGTTTATTTTTAAAAAATATTTTCAATTTCAAAATTTTATTTTCACCCCACCCCTATCCTCAACCCCCCTCCCCCACTATGCCCCCACCCCCCACCCAAAATAATAATAAATTTAAAGTTTGTTTTATAAAAAATACTTTCAATTTCAAATTTTTGTTTTTCACCCCTACCCTGACCCCCCCCCCCAACCCCCAAAAAAAATCAAAGTTTGTTTTTAAAAAATATTTCCAATTTCAAATTTTTATTTTTTCACCCCTATCTCGACCCCCCCCCCCCCCCAAAAAAAAATTTAAAAAATTTAAGTTTATTTTTTAAAAAAATTTCAATTTCAATTCAAAAATATTTTTTATTCATAAATCAAACACTAAAAAATCTTTTCCGGAAAATATTTTCTACTCACAAACCAAACATGAGCTTGTTTTCCAGGAAAACATTTTCCTTCATACCAAACACACCCATTAAGTTGGTGTATTTGGTTTATAAACTACCTTTCCTTTCATCCTATTCCATCAAACCAATCAATCTAAGACCATTTTGTTTTGAAGGGTTTATGCCAGATCTGTCGATGTTTTGAGAATAATTTCCTTTTGTGACTAGTGCTGATTTCTTTTCTATTTTTCCCCCTCCTAGGCTTTCCCTAGAGATTCTCCTCTAGCAGTAGACATGTCAACAGCAATTTTGAAACTATCAGAGAATGGGGAACTACAAAGGATCCATGATAAATGGCTTTCTGGAATAGCTTGCACTTCACAGAATACAAAGCTTGAAGTGGACAGGCTTCAGCTGAAAAGTTTCTCAGGTCTATTCTTTCTATGTGGGTTGGCATGTTTTCTGGCTCTGCTCATTTATTTTGTGATGCTAGCATGTCAATATTGCCAATACTATCCCAATTCTGAGGTAGCTAGTGAAAGCTCACGATCAGGACGACTGCAGACATTCCTTTCTTTTGCTGATGAAAAGGAAGAGTCAGTGAAGTCTCGATCCAAACGAAGGCAGCTAGAGGTGACTTCAGTAAGAAGTATTGATCAAGATGCATCAGTAAACGGTTCAAGGAATGACCGTTCTGAGATATACTCAAACAGGGTTGTAAGTTTTGGAGAATCTGTATAGTTCATAAACAAAAATCTACCATTCTTCCTCAAATGTAATTATAAAGGTTGACTGCATATTTGTGTAGACGATGCTGTAACTGTACCAAATTTTACAAAGTTCTGGTGCCATTGACATATTATATCATACAATCCAAGAACCTTACAACAACTACTACTATGACTCAATCTCGAAATAGTTGGAGTTGAATATATGAATCTGCAACTGTCTGTGTCGTTCCATTTAAGCCTATTTTTTTTTAAAAAAATAAAAATCTCTAGCATTAGAATATCCTGCTAATCCATATGCATGCGTACTACAAGCCCTTTCAGCTCGAATAAGAAACATATTTGAGCATTTAAAATAAAAAGAGAGAAATGTTGGTAAACATACTTTAATAAGATTACACAATTTGATTTCATATTTACATTATTTTTGTTTCCAACAACAGTGGTGTCCGTACAGCTTTCTGGTACCTGCCCGGCACAGGCATATTTACATGGTGTAGATTACAATATACAATACATGTTACATCATGCATATAATGTAAGAATGAAACAAGATACAGCTGCTATCTAGAGGAGCCTAAAGTACACTGCTTGTGAAGTACTTCTGAAAACAGGCTTCATCTTTACAGTATTCTGACATCACTTTATACACTTCAATTAGTAGTTGCGGAAACCGCCTCCTAAAATAGCCATCAAATCCTTCTGGAACAGTTCCTAAAATTTCCTGAAATGAAGTTGAGATGCACCGGAAGTCAGCAAATACAATCTGAAATCAACGATAATATTTCCACCTTGCAGCACACTGCTTCTTTGAGATGTTCCCACACAAAAACTAATTCCTCAAAGGAAGTCTTGACCAAATGTTAAGTCCATCAATTTGTTGAATAACAATATGTATTAAGCACTATATAGATTGATCAAAACTAACCTGAATTTCGGTGGGAAGCTCTCTATAATGATTTAGCTTGTTCCGCATCACACGCAGCAAATCACGAATACTGTCAAATCTATATCGCCTGTAATGGCCAATATTTTTTATGAAAGGAGGTTCCATCTTCTCATCCCATTTTCCACCCAAAGCCACAGGCGCTGTACCTTCTAATGCTTTCAGAAGATCAGAAGAAGTCTCCCTATCTTCAAGTTCCACCCTGTCGCTTGAGTCACGAAGAAATGACAGTCGCAGCTCAGCAGTCCAAAAGAAAGGATGAGCAAGCACCTTCACTGCCTTTGGTCTTTTACAGAGTTAAGGAAAAAAAAAAGGAGTTTAGCAATAGGCAGATGCAGCGTACATAGACTAGCAGAACACACACTTTATCCAAGAGAACGCTTTAGCAGTTTTCCCATTACAATGTTAATTGTATATTGATTGAAAATACAACTACGCCTCGCTGCGCTAAAAATAGCTACCAATTCATGAAGCAAAAACCTCTAATTTCTTTATCTTCTCTTACATTTTGTCTGTATTTTCTTTCCTTTTTTTTTCAAAAATTATTATTTCTTGACAGGGATATTGGTGGCCAGGGTGGGGGAAAGGGGTGCCTATGGGCCTTTTGTGAGGATCAAGCCTTGCACCTCAAGTATGCAAAATTACGACTCCGACTCTAGCCCCTACCTAGTTAGCACTGGATTTTCTTAGAATCTTTTTATACGTAATTGTTTTTTAAGATCTAAAGAGATAAAATAGGTAATACTGATACAGAGATGTTTCCTGCATTCCTGAACAGCATTGAAGAGATAACTGCACAGCCTACTTAAACCGTCGAATGGGTCAGAAACTTATCAAGCACATTACTAAACTAAATAGAGCTGAAAATTCAGTTGATAAGTTGTACTTGGCTAAAACTTGATTGCACACATACTAATAGTCATAATCATTATGCCTGCCGTCCTATTGTGATTAATAAGCTAAAAATATTCTTTGAATTTTGAAAATCACCATCAGGAGCTGTAATTCTAAAGGGGGGGATAAAAAGGGTATAGTCATCTTCACAAACATTTTTAGAGTACGAAAACAGTATTGCAATTCAAAGAGAAGTTCCAGCCATAACTAGCTACAAGAATGTCATGGTCAATAACAAACTCTAAATTTGTCCATAGTTATTGGTATGTGCGGGATGTAATAGAATTTTTATTACATAAAGCATGTGCACTTCTTACCTCAGTTCAGCATTGGGATCTAACAAACGAGAAAAGAGATCCACAGCTTCAGGGATGTGTTCCGACAAGAAAAGATCCACTTTATTCTTTGTAATGTTAATGTCACGCTCAAGAGGACTTCCAAAGGGATGACGACCACCAGTCATGCAGAAAAACAGAACAGACCCCAGACTGAACATATCAATAGCACGTGTTTGACGTCCATGAAGAAGTTGTTCAGGAGCTTGCCATCCCGAACTTCCATAACCTGCAAAAAAATATTGCTTAGTAAGGACAGCGAGAAATATGCATTAAACAGTTAAAGACATCATGCTGAAGCAAGCTCTGAAAAAAAAATTAAAAGCTAAGGCGCCACCTAAAAGAAGAATCTGGTGTGAGAAACTGAGAATAGAACTCAACTGTCAGTCAAACAATCTTCTCTTGAATGCAGCAAGGATGACATTGTAGAGATGCTCAATGTGTCATGCAAATTACTAGATAAAGGAGCATACTCAATGATGGTGGGACTGAAGATAACTTCATTAGCAGCTAATGTTTTAGCTACTTAACAATACTTGCCTGTTGGGTGATGACCCAATGAAGACATATCTCCAATGAGGCGCTTGCTGATTCCCATATCAGAAAGCTTAGCACATAAGAATTTTTCCTTAGTTATCAGAACATTTTGGGGCTTCAGGTCTCGATGAATGATCCCCAGATCATGAAGATGAACAAGACCAGAAACCACATCCCTGTCCTCCAAAAAAGAAAATCAGAACAGCAGACAAATTGGAATTCAGAACATTATAATCAAAAGATAAAAATGAAAAATGGTTTTCCGGATCAAATTTATGTTTAACATCCACTACCAGGGCACATACTACAATTTCTATGCACGGAAACAGCAATATATATCTTATAAGCGCTTAGTAACCAAACAGAAGATGACAGTTGGGAAATGCAAGATGCAGAAAACTTTTTTAGGATTGGTAAAGGAAGGAGCATTTGTAGAAGGCCCTTCTTACCCACTGCAGATGGGATAAAAAATGTAGCAGACTAGCAGGTGACCTATTTTATCAGACCATTCAAAAGGTTAGCAAATAGCAAAATCATAAAAGAAAACAGATGAGACAGCATGGATAAAAAAGCACCAAACCCTAAAAATTATGAAGAGAAAAGCACTGAAAAGGCCAATTGTAAAGTCATCGTCACGAGAAATTTTGAGTCAGAAGAATGTGATGGTATTTTCTTGTCTAACTGCCCAGCTCTATCCGCAGGCGCGATAAGCAAAATTCAACAAAGTGAATTTCGCTGAGTTCTTTACCTAAAAAAAGGACCTCTAGAGACCTGATGACTAGTATAGTATAGGAAGCAAAACCCAAACTGTATGATCTTTTGGTATTAAACAGACAAGAAATAAAGGAGAGGCCTTTCTTCCGAAGTAAGCTCAGCCTTTTTCAAATCATCATCTAATGGATTGCAAAGTACCCTCATATACCATGAAACAATGATAAGAGGCACAAAAGTCCAGGCTGTTATAAAATTATTCAACGAACCTCATCAATTTGAGCAACAGAGGTGAAGGACAACCATTTTCATTCATCAAGTCAGTATCCAGAATAATACCCTTCAAATTGTCCAAATAAAGTCTATGCTTCGAAGATTCTCCATCCATGTTCTGGTTAGGATATGCATTTTCTGAAGTGTCAGCATAAATCTGAATAAGGTCACTCAAGCTGCAAATGCAGCGTTCCAACGCAAGATAAACAAAATCTTGGTCTTGTTCCACACCATACCACCGAACGATATTTGGATGTCGATCAGACGCAATAAGATTCTGTATCTCTTTGAAGGCAATATCATGATGTGCCCTGACAAGCCTTTTCACAGCAACTGCACGACCTTCATAAATTCCTTCAAATACAACTGTACCATTGCTCCCTTTAGCAATCTCTGTACTGGAGACAAACAATTTACCAATAGAGCGTCCACCTTTGGTACATATACTTGGTTGAAGAAAGTTCAACAACAGTTTATTATCAGCATCCACGTCTGCATATTTAAGTCCAATACCAGATGAGGTGTCTTTATCACTTTTAATGCCACTGCTCCCATTCTTTCCAGACTTCCTAGACTTCTTCCTTTTTGAAGGTACATTTGGTGAATGTGGGTTCCCAAGCTGTCTATCCAAATTGAGTTCAGACACTAAATCACGACTATGTGTAAAAACTCCCACAAGAGTAGCTAAAATACTGCGAATCGGCATGCTTAATCTTTCAGAGCACTTCATTATTCCTTCTTTGAAAGGACTTTTAGCATCTTGTAAAATTTTGTTTATGGTGAATAAAATTATGAACACCACCAATATGCCAAACATAGTTTTTTTAATAGTAATATTTTCTAAGTGGAAGGTGTCTACATTCTTGTCGGGCACAGGAGTAGCTGCATTATCAACATTTGGTTGTGAAGTAGGAATTGGCAGCATACCCTGACTATCAGCCTCTGGGAGCATCTTGTTATCATGACCTCGGCGTCTGTAGATAAGGGCCCTTGACTGACATGGCAATGGCATATTGAAATGCACATCAGGTTCAGATTTGTCAGACTCCATAATATCCCCACTAAATGCATCATCAACTTTGCAAAGAGCAGCAGCACCTATTTCAGCAACCGTCATGTTCCACAACACTTTGTCTGAGTTTGGAATAAAGGACGTTAATGCATAGTCTGTCCTGGTGATGTAAAGCGTGTAGCTGGGCAGACTCTCTTCCTCAATGGTGCCATTATGATGAAAAGTAGTGTTGTTGTCCTGAGTTGCTGGAGAGCTAGGCATACTATATGTGTAAATCAGGCGTCCAGTCTTAGCATCAACAAGAAATGCAGTAGTTCTTTTAGATCCCAGAACAATTCCGCCATCCTCAGCTATTTGTGGAGTTGAACTAATATACTCATCAATACTCTTCATAAGTTTCTGTTCAAAAATATGGAGCAATAAATAAGAGACTAGAGTAAAATAACAACAGAAATGTA